GGTCAAAACGAGATGGATTCCGATGGAATGATGAGACCCTTCAGTGGTTCGTCGATAGAGGATGTGAATGGGTTAAACCCTACATGGAGCCTGGCGATTTCGTCCTGTGGGATTCCCGAACAGTGCATTATGGAGCCGCACCGCTGGACGCCAACAAGCGATTTGCCATATGCAAGTGGCGTCATCAGAGACTTGTGCTGAATCTTTGCGTAGATATCTGCTACAAGCCTGATGCGAACATAACACCTGAGCAAAAGGCGAGAAAGGTCGAGGCGTTCAAGAGGGGGTACTGCACGGTGGGTCAAAAAAACCGGGGGGTGAACTCTGTTTTGACAAGGACTAGAGCCACGACCCCACTGATTTCCTCGTCAAGGACGATCAGGAAGCGGAATGGAACAAGAACCTGCCCTATGGACCTCCCCGTATCTCTGAAGCGACGGAGAAGGCCATTGGCATCAGGTCATATTGACATGTTGAATTAGCCTGAATTTTGTATCTCCTTAAATGCAAATGTCTGTATCTCCCTTCACTTTGGCAACCTACCATGACCCAACCCGTCCAACTCCCTGTGCAGGTCATCGACACGATCCTGTCACACCTCGTCCCTCCTACCATCCCTCTACCTCGTCAACTCGTCGCTCAACCCATCTTGAGAAGGTTGGAATTTGTCCCGCCGGATATTCACGACACGGATGCCTACCTCACGCCTAACCCTGATCCATCCACACCAGACTCCCCATCGACCTCTTTGACGGCTCTGTTGGGCTCACTCGTGGATGGATACACGCGAGGGGAAGTGACCTATGGTTACGATGGAGAGACAGTCTTCGCGAGGATACCCCTGAGCCGGGGCGGAGAAACCGAGGTGAGGGTGATGTTCTCCTATGAAGATGGACAAAAGGCCAGAGGATGGGTGTATCACGCGGTTCAGAAGCCAACGAACGACACGTTGGCATGGAGTGAGACCCTTCCTCAACTCCCTCGTGGGGATGCTCCCCCTGAATCCGACACACTCGCCCCGAAAGGCTACTGGGAGGGATTCACACCACCGACACGCTACGTCGACCTGTCTGACAAGGCGGATGATGACTATTGGGCTTCCTACGGGACCCCCCAAGACATGGCTTCGAGGCCTAGGACACCGATACCGACGCATGTGCCGGAGAAGAGGCCGGACCCCAGCGACCTGAGGGACAAGATGGAGTCAAAGATCATGTATGTGCTGAGAAACATGTGGACAGAATGGACCAGAGGGGCAGAGAGGGAGGATGAGCTCGAGGAGAGGGCATTGGGCTGGCTACGGGTCTGCCGGTTAGCTCTGGAGGGCGAGGCGTTCACGGATCCGAAGGAGCTGGTGCTATGTGCAAAGATACAGGTCTGTCAGGAACTCTCAACCACGGTGACCAGTGGAGAAGGGGCGTTCTGGCGAATGGTGGAGAAGGTCGTTCAGTTGCGTATACAGTCGAGTGAGCCGAGCGGATGGGAGTGATACGAACACAACGGACTGGAGCCAAACGGACCGGGGAGGAATGCATCGCGAGCCCCCCCAACCAAGTGCTATCGCTCAGATGGCCCGTAACATCTCGTAGATGCGCCGCTGGGCAACAAACATGAACGCCGCGGTGAGAACAGATTGGACGAGCTTGGGAACGAGTCCAGCGTAGAGACCTAGCGTTCAGCTTTGAAGGAGGCGCATGCGAACTCACCGTGTAAACCCTCTTTGCGTAGGATGTGAAGGATGGCGTGGAGGGAGGACTTGTATTTGTGTGTTGCAGCCTGCAATCGTGATTTGACCACGATCTGGTGGGGGGGCTCAGCACAGCCCTGTAAGATCATCTCACGATTGGATACGTGCTACCCGTCGCGATCAACTTGCTGGCAGCGCCGAGGATGAATAGATCCAAGCTGGTCAGAGAGCTCCTCGTAGGGGACTTGCGGAGGGTGAGGATGAGGGCGAGGAGTCGTTCAAACGTAGTGTACTGGCACTCAGTCAAAAAGCCACACCATTCCGCCTACCTGGATCACCGGGTTGAGCACCAGCACGAGGGCCGGTCCGATCCCTCGCCAGAAGCCTAGGACGCCTGCTTCGTTGTAGATACGTTGAGCGGCGACGGCGATGGATTCTTTTCCGCGGGTCGATTGAGCTACTTGGATCGTCCAGATAGGATTGGTGATCATGGAAGTGGTAATGCCTGGGGGTTAAGCGCACTATACGCTTTCATCCCCCACCCGCAATCAATCCCGCCGTGATGCCCTGTGCCGTGGTCAATGCCCCTTCTTTTCGCTTCAGCATGATCGCCCGAACGCGTTCGTCTTGAACCCTCAGCGAAAGTCACATCCTTTGTCTCCACTCACATGACGCGTAGTATATCCCATTGGTCAAGGCCATGCCGAGGAGACTACTTTCGAGACCAGAGTACAGCCCTGCGATGCCTTCACGGGCGTAGATGCGCTTGAGTGAGGCGACGATCGTGTCATGGCCCTCCTCTGACTTGACCGCTTTGCGTGTGGAGAGGTTGACGAGGGGACTTGGCGTCAGGGGCTGGAGCTGTCATCGCTCACTAGGTGATGGCCTGGGGGCATTTCAGTTGAGGCTCGGCGTACAAGCTTGACTCACTAGAGACACGCATCCACCGGCCGCTCCAGCCACGGCGTGGGTCGCAGCGTCGCTCATGATGTAACAACAAGCAGGACGAATCCAATAATTATAAATGCATGTCTATATACTTCCACACCGGCTCGCTGAGAGATAAACACACATCTATACCTCCGTCTAGAGCCGGGAGAAAGTAGCCTAGCCCGTCGATACATGATACACTGGTGAACGGCGTGGACACGAGCACGGGTCGATTCTCAAACACTGCATACATATCCATCTTGTTCCATTGACTCAGCATGAGACTCCCGTTGCCATAGCGAAACGAGCTGGCGATGGATCGTTTGTCAGGCTGTGATTCGATCCAGCCGAGGGTTTGATCAATGCGGGAGGTCGCGTCGGGATGACGCGCCATATGGTGGACTGTCGAGGCGACCCGAGAGACGTGGTCCTGGAGCAGATGGTCGGGTTCAAACTCGGCCCAGGTCGTCAAGACGGCTTGGGGAAAGTAGCGCGGTGGAAAGGGGTACCGACGACGGAGATCGACTGGGGTGAGGAGGTCTGGCGGGGAGAGGGCATCGTAGACACGTGCTCTAGCTTGGTAGATTCGACAGTGGAGATGTGCGCAGAGGGCGGAAAAAGTGCCCACAGAGGTGCGTCGTTTGATCGAGTCGAGTTGGTCGGGGGTGTAGTGAAAGAAGCGACCGGTCGCAGGGTCAGAGGCGGTGGGCTGAGGGGTGAGAGGGGTGAGGGTGAAGAGGGTCGTGCTGCCACCCGGAGGCGCCTTGAGGGGAATGATGGTTGGCAAGTCCACTCCGTCCAGGGCCTGCTTATCGTCCCTCAGGTTGCGATACACCTGAGCCAGATCTCGGACCAGTTGAAAGAATCCTACGGCATCGCAGACCGTGTGAAGGCATCGTATACCGAGTGAGACGGAATCACAGGCAAACGAGGTGTGTCGGATGGACAGGATTGGGCCATTGCTCACAGCCGTGGCGTCTGGCGTGAACGATGCAAAGAGGTCGTTCCCTTCGCCTGGGAGATCCACCATGGTGACTTTCTCGGGGAGCCCGTCGCTACATCTCGCCGTCTCAAACAACACGCCTGATCCTATTGACGTGATAAATCGGTTCCCCAGCGTGTCTTCCTGTAGCCTCCCCGTGAGCTGGGGGTAGACCTCGAGAAGGCGAGCCAGAGCATCGCGCAGGATCTGGGGGTCCACAGGGGTCCTATAGACAAACACCACGGCGACCGGGATGACGATGGGCACGAGCACGTCCAGCGTACCCAGGGGGAATGGATCGTGAAGGGATCGAGTCCGAGCCGGACATGGCGACTCTGTCGACAGCACCTCTATCATGCCCTGATAGGCTCGTTGGGTTCATCGAGCTACGACATGCGGGTGAACAAAGATAGCTAACGAGCTAGTGGATGGGGGGGTTCAAGCGGCGGAAACAAAAAAAAAAATAGTCCAAAAGGTGCAATCTCTTCAGTTTACCCTCTCTCTCACTCTCTCTACTCGATGAGATCCCGCCCTGTAGCACCTCTATAGCATGCTCACTGCTCATTGTTTGCTCAGGACTAGACGATCCATCTTTCCGCACTGCATGTCAACAACATGTACCATGACGCACCGTCCCTGGCGATCAATCCAAAACAAACGTCCTTGAGTAATTAGACAAAATCCCTGGTATGCAGACTACGCTGCAAGCTACTGACACCTTCCCGCTGTTGACGATGCACGAGGGTTTGTCCTTCTGTCCTTCTAACAAAGATATATAAAGGGTCCTCTGCTCATGCTCTGATCCTAAACCATCACTCTCTCGTCTCGTCTCGTCTCTCCTCAAATCTCTCCTCTTCGTCAAGTTTGATACTTGCTCTAGGTCGATCCTACACACACCCACCTCCAACACTATGCGCTCCTCTATCGTCATCGCTGCCTTTTCCGCCCTTGCGCTTGAAGCGTTTGCGGCTCCTGTCAAGAGAGGAGGAATCCTCGGTGGGGACATTCTCGACGGACCCATTGTCAGTGGGAACTCGATCCGTGAGTGGCCGAAGAAAAAAGAATGGTAAAGCTGATCTTAACAGTCCCCATTCTCTCCGACTCGAATCCCACCGTTGTCTCCCCCTTTACCCACTCCTCCTCTAAACGAGACGGTATTCTCGGTGGAGAGATCCTCGATGGACCCATTCTCAGTGGAAACTCGATCCTCCCGATCATCTCCACCTCGGACCCATTGGTCGTTTCCCCCCACACCAAGTCGGACAAGCGAGACGGTATCCTTGGAGGTGATCTCCTTGACGGGCCTATCCTGAGCGGAAACTCCATACTCCCCATTCTTTCGGATTCCGAACCCACCGTGGTCTCACCCTTCACCCACTCATCGAGCAAGCGTGGAATCCTCGGCGGAGACTTGCTGGACGGCCCTATTCTCAGCGGCAACTCGATCCTCCCCATCCTTTCCGATTCTGAGCCCACGGTCGTTTCCCCGTTCACTCACAGCGACAGCAGCAGCTCGAAACGAGATGGCATCTTGGGAGGTGACCTGCTTGATGGACCCATCCTGAGTGGAAACTCTATCCTCCCTATCCTGTCGGATTCCGAACCCACCGTCGTCAGCCCATTCACCCACAGTGACAGCTCGAAGCGGGACGGTATTCTCGGAGGAGATCTTTTGGATGGACCCATACTGAGCGGGAACTCGATCCTCCCCATCCTGTCGGACTCGAATCCCACCGTGGCCAGCCCGTTCACCCACAGCGAGTAGTACCCTAGTAGCATCTTGTTTTGTTTGTTTGTTCACCTTCGAGAGACGATGATTGAATCATCATCACACAACTGAGCGCTTGACGCCGAGGACAATTTTTGGAGAGACGAGAGGACATTTTTAAACAAGGCATAGGACGGTTTGTTTGTCCTGAGCCAGCCTTTATTATATAGACAGTGATGTATGGACACTTTCTTTTGTTCTACCACGACGACGGGTCTATGACGTTGGTGTCTAGATTGTCAAACAGGATATCTCGCATGGTCTCGGTGGATTTGATCTGGATATCCCTGACAGCCTCGTCGGAGAAGAAGGCACAGTGAGGGGTGATGATCAGTCGGCCCATGAGCCAGGGCTCAGACGCGCGGTAAGCTTGGATCAGCGGTGGAGGGGGATCGACTATCGGTTCGGTCTCCAACACGTCGAGGCCAGCTGCTGTCAGTCGACCTCTCCGTAGCGCTCGTTCTACCGCGTCAAGGCTCACACACTCGCCTCTCGACACGTTGATCAGGATCGCGCCGGGTGGAAGGAGCGCCAGCGTCGTGTCGTTGACGACGAGGTGGGTCTCGGGTGTGTGAGCGCAGTGGAGGGAGATGACATCGGCTTGGGAGAAGAGCTCGGTCAGGGAGAAGAGTCGGGTGATGCCTAGGGCTCTGTCTAGACCGTTGGGGAGAAAGGGGTCGTAGAACACCACCTGGGGATCAGTTTAAGAGGGGTTCCAGTGTCTCACTCACCCTGTAGCCGAACGTTTTGGCTCGGAGCGCAGCGGCGATACCGATTCGTCCAAGACCGAGACATGCCCATGTCTTGCCAGTGGGACGGTGAACGATAGGTCCGCTGAGAGGAATCCCAGGGGGGCCATTGAGAGGCTTCCATTCGGCTCCAGGAAGACGCTGAGCATCGTGCTGGAGAATGATCCCACGACGGAGGGATAGAGCCATGGCGAGAGCGTGGTCTGCGACTTCGGTGGTGCCATAGCTGTTCATCAGTGAGAGTTTCACACCCTTCATACTCACTCTGGCACATTGGCGACTTTGACACCGGCCGCCGCGAGAGCTTTCCGGTCGAGTCGGTCGTATCCGACACCTGTTCGGACGACGCACCTTAGCTTGGGAAAGCGGACGAGGTCACTGAGGTGCGAGTGAGCTGAGAGGCTTTTTCCGCAAACGGCATACTCTGCGGTGAGATAGTGTCGAACGATGAGTATCCCGTGGACCTCTGCGCAGACCTCGTCGGGGACTAGGTAAGCAACGACGTGAAGGCGATTCTCACCCGTGGATAGCGGCTGAGATACTGCGAGGTGGTATTGGATCAGCTTGAACGGTTGAGGGCGTTTTGCACTGAGGAAGATGTTCTCCTAAGTCGGTCAGCGAGTCCTTTCGACACGATGGCTCACTTCCACAGCTCCGAGGACATAGCGATCCACCAAGGCGAGGATGACCAACTCGGACATGATGATGTAGGAGGTCAAAATTGCCGAGCATTTTGCCGAGCCTTTTGAATCTATTTCCACACCTCTCCTCCAACCATGAAGTCTGCATTCGAAGAACGGTTCGAGAACGATGGCAAGGGGGCGGCGGCAGCCCCAGGGTCAAGCTATGTCCCCGACTCACCTGAAGAAGGAGCCATGCTGCGCAAGATTGACCTGCATCTCCTGCCAATGTTGTGGATCATGTACGGTGGGGCACCGTGCCGAGTCGGTCTGACGATCTCTAAGTGTTCAACTATGTGGATAGGACCAATATCGGAGTTGAGTCGGGGGTCAAGAGCGCCAGGCTGACTCTGTAGAATGCGAAAACGGGAGGGATGCAGGATCAACTCCATCTCAGCTCGTCGGACTATAGTCTGGTTCTGTCCATCTTTTTCAGAGTGAGAGCGGTAGTGTGGGACGCTGCTCAACTCCCAGGGCTACCTCCTCAAGGAAGTACCTTGCAACATGATCTTGGCACGGAGCCGACCTTCCATCTTTCTTCCCCTAACATGTTCATCTGGGTGAGTGTGATCTGGTCCCCAACACTGCTGACTCTTTCAGGGGTGCATGAGCATCGGCGTGCGTGGAGTGAACAGTCTCGCCGGGATCGTCATTGTCAAGAACAGACCTATCCGGCTCGAGGGTCCTACTTGAATAGTAACTCTCTGAATAGGGATGTCAAGCTGGGTGGCTTATAGACAACGAATATACATATTGATGAAGAAGAAAGCTTTATCTCCTACTCTTATACTCGGGTAACGGCTCGGCAAGCGGAGATCGCCGCCGACCGTTCCTGACATGACTTTGGGCTCGACAAAATGACCCATGGCCCGGACGACGATGTCAAAAACGCCACCGCCCGATACGTCTTTATCTGTTTCGGTGGCGCCGGCATCTGGTCCGCCATACCGATCTTTCTCAGCTGGATGGTGACCATGTTTGACGGGAGGGAGAAGCGGGCGATATCCATCGCCCTGGTGAGGTGATACGCACAGTAAGCTTCTGACTTTTCTCTTCCCGCCTCCGCAGATCAACGGCTTTGGCAACATTGCCTCGGTCTACGGCTCGTTCCTTTGGCCCGCGTGGGTCAAACCACTGTACCACGTTGGTTTCGGCGTCACTACCGGTATGCTCGGCGTCGCTGCATGGATGACATTGGCTCTAAAGTGGAGATATGGTGATATCGGCGTTGTCCGGTCGTAGTGCCAAAAATGCCAAGAACAATCTCTACAAGTGTATATATACCTCCATCTGTCATCGTACACATACCTTCGCCATGTCACCATGCAATCCAGTCCCATCGCAGAGGACGACAAGAAGCTGTTCGACATCGCTCCGGCTGAGGATGGTCTCGACAATGCTAATGTCCATGAATTGGGGATGCTGGAGGATGACCTCGCGGCAGTGCATGCGAGGTTGGGGGAGGCGAGCTTGGAGTGGACCTATGCAGTGAGTGGGGGGTATCACACGTCATGACACTCATATCCAGGTCATCAAAGAGGCTCGAGTCGTCCACAAGAACGATCCAAACTTTCCCGGAGCAGTGCTAGATCAGATGGACCGATTTCTCGACGATCCAAACGTCTTGGCGAATCCCGACAAACATGCTGATCTCATCAGGGAGATGAAGATGGAGGCCATCTTGTCGACAGAGAATTCGCCGTATCAAGAGGTTCGAGCGAATGTGGACAACACAGACGACCCGACCATGCCTTCGCTCACGTTCAGGGTTTGGGTCATTGGCACGATATTCTCAGGCATTGGAAGCTTTATCGACACCCTGTTTCTTGTGCGCCAACCTGCCATCTCGGTCGGACCAAACGTCGCGCAGATGCTTGCATGTGAGCTGAGGTGGGGTAAATCTACTGCTGATACTCAGATCCCGTGGGCAAGTTGATGGAGCGATTGCCCGAGGCCAGTTTCTCGCTTCTCGGCCAGACAATGTCGTTCAATCCTGGCCCGTTTAACAAGAAGGAGCACATGTGAGAGTGGGGCAGCGAAGACGATGCTGACGAAACAGGCTGATCACGATCATGGTGGGATGGTAATGCATTCATTCGCTGACTTGCAGGCCTCCGTGTCCTTCTCCTACCCCTACACGGCCTTCTTGATCCCTACTCAGGCGCTCCCCCAGTTCTTTGGCCAGGAATTCGCGCGAGAATTTGGGTACCAGCTGTTGTCCACCATGGGCATCAATTGTGAGACAAAAGCAAAAAGGGACTACACTGATCACCTAAAGTCGTCGGGTATGGGCTAGCTGGACTGTTTCGCCGATTCCTCGTCTTCCCCAGCTGGGCCCTATGGCCATCCTCTCTCGCGACCATTGCGTTGAACAAGGCATTCCACACGGATCAAAATGAGCCAGTCCAAGGGCCATTTGGCTGGGTCTTTCGTCGTTCACGAGGTCAGGTGTTCTTCATCACCTTTGGGGCAATGTTCATGTGAGTGACGAGCGAGGCTGCATCGCTGAAGGGTGCGAGATGGTTCTTCTTCCCCGGTTTCATCTTCCAAGCCTTGTCCGTGTTCAACTGGTTGTCGTGGATCGCTCCGGACAACATGGCATTGAACAATGTCATGGGGTTCAATAATGGCGTGGGATTGAACCCGTGGCCGACGTTTGATTGTGAGTCGAAAGAGGTGGGTGAGTGCAGAGCTGATTCTCAGGGAATAATCTGTGCGTGAGGATGGTAGTACACAGCTGACTTTAGGACCCCATGGCTCACCCCGTTGACCATCCCCACATTCTCCATCGTCAGTCAATTCATCGGCATCTGCATCGGCACCTTGATGTGAGTGTGTGGGCGCCGCGATTTGGGCGCTTCTTCGGGCTATGCTGAGAGACCAGGACCATCGCTTTCTACTGGCAAAACGCATGGAACTCGTCTTATCTCCCGATCAACGCCAACAACACCTTTGACAACACAGGGTCAGCCTTCAACGTGTCCAAGATTCTCGGTCCCGATGGGCTCTTTGACAACACGCGGTACCAAAAGTACTCCCAGCCCTGGATGTCGGCGGGATTCTGCACCTATGTGAGGGGGGAGCAAGCTTCATCGCTGACCTTAGCTTATATGGTATTTTGCGATGTACGGAGCGAGTAGGTGCAAAATGTTCCAGGTTGTGGCTGATGAACCTGCAGCTCTCTCCTACATCTGCGTCTACCACCGCCACGAGATTGTCACCGCGGTGAGAACTACAGCCAAAGGGTTCAAAAAGGTCATTCTGAGGCGTCGAGCCGACACCACGGAGGATCCGCTCGCCGAAGACGTTCATTACCGCCTCATGAAGCATTATAAAGAGGTTCCCGAATGGTGGTATGCCATCCTGCTCATCATCGCCGCCTGCGTCGGCATGCTGGGCGTCGGTCTTTGGCCAACACACACTTCGCCCGTGGTCGTGATCTACGGCATCATCATGCCTCTTATCGCCATCCTACCCTGTGGAATCGTCCAAGCGGTCACTGGCATTGCCATACCGCTTCAGGTGCTTGCGCAGTTCATCGGAGGGAGCTTTTCTGGCGGGAGCGGCGTGGTAGGTCCCAATCAAACTTAGGTTCCCCACAACTTACCGCACCGCCCAGGCCCTCATGTTCTTCAAATCTTACGGGTACATCTCCATGTACCAAGCCCTTGCTTTTTGCAACGATCTCAAGCTCGCTCACTATATCAAGATCCCCCCGAGGCACACATTTGTCGGCCAAGTCTGGGCCACCCTCGTCAACACATTTGTCGCCGCGTCCCTGTTCAACTTTCAAATGTCATTCAGGGGGGTCTGCACACCAGATGCAGATTTCAAGTTTACCTGTCCGGGGCAAAAAACGTTCTACACCGGCGCCGTGTTCTGGGGCGTGCTTGGTCCGAGTCACCTATTTGGAGCGGGCAAGAGGTACAACCTGTTGCTCCTGGGCTTTCCCATTGGGGTGATGATCCCGATCAGTGAGTGTGAGGGGGACGCATCTGTCGCTGAAAGCCCCCAAAGTCCACTACTTTGTTCGCCGGAGCATGCCAAAGCGGGAATGGATCAGGCAGATTCACCCGGTCATGATCTGTGCGGGTCCAGCCAATTGTGAGCTTGACACAATGTCCCTTCTCGCTGACTCTTTTCAAAAGGGGGCTCACCCTACAACTTTTCCTACTTTTGGCCCAACGTCATGGTCGCGCTCTTCTCCTTTCAATATGTCCGAAAACGATACACTGCGCTCTGGGCAAAGTACAACTACGTGATCGCAGCATCCTTCCCCGCCGGCATCGCAGTCGCCGCGTTGGTCATCTTCTTTGCGCTCGAACTGCCCGCTGGGGGGTTGAGCATCGATTGGTGGGGAAATACCGTCTCGTATGAAGGGTGTGAAGGGAGTGCGTGTACAAGGTTTAAGATTCCCGAGGTGGGGTATTTTGGCCCGACGCCGGGCACAAATGCGTTTACCTAGCGGGCGTGGCGTAGTGAGCGGCGTAGCACACTATGCAAACCATGTTTTTGCCGCATGGCATGTCCGCAGGATGATGTCCGAGATCTCCATCCCGGCATTAGAAATGGCGTGTACTGATCAAATGAGCAATACATGTTGAGATACTAGACCCCCCTGGAACCATGGACGACTTTTTGGCACGACATCCCGGGGTCAAGTATATTGTCTATCTGACCGTCGACTATGGCAACGTCGCGAGATGTCTGCTCACGACGACGTCTCGAGCGAGGCACATTGCAGCGACGCATGGATCCGTAGCGTCCGCCTCGTCGATGCAGTTTGCGTCGTGGGCGATCACAGGGACAGACGATGATGTGGAGCAGATCTTGGAGGGATCAGCGCATTGGCGACCGCATTGGGAGACGCTGAGATTGGCGCACAGGGTGGATCAAGCGATTGTCATGTGTAGTCTGGAGGAGATCAAGGCCGGGCCAGCACATGAACTGGACCGTGATCCACGGACGGTGCTGCAGAGGGTGATCGACGAGGCGAGGAGGGAGGACGGGATAGAATGTATGGTGGGGTATGAGATTGAGTTTCACCTCCTCGATGGGCCCGGACCGTCGGGACCCAACGAAGGAGCCTATAGCATGTCAGTTGTGCGAGAGGCTCGATTCGATGTGGTATTGGAGATGGTGGATGCCATTGAGCGTGCTGGGATCAGCACATGGGCGATCCACCCAGAGGTGAACAAGGACGAGTATGAGATCTCGTTGGCACCGAGAGACGCCCTCGGCGCAGTAGACGACCTCATCCACGCCCAAAACATCATCCGAGGGATCGCTCGTCGACACGATCTCGTCGCGACAATGCATCCGCAGCGGGCTGAACAAGGTCCAACGATCGGTAATCACACACATATCTCGGTGAACAAGTGTGGAGACGCGTTTCTCGCCGGTCTGGTCGAAGGACTCGAGGGCATCTCGGCGATCCTCATGGGCGGATACGATAGCTTTGGCGGCGGGCGGAACGCGATGCTCGGGGACGGCAAGATTGGATGGTCAGAGAGCAAATCGACGCCGATCAGGCGATTCAGCGAGAATCACTTTGAGAACAGGGTGCCAGACTGTTTGGCGAATCCGTACCTTCAGCTCGCCGCGTTGATAGGTACGGGAATGGAGGGTGTACGGGGTGTTGGTGGTGGTAGGAGGAGGAGCAGCTTGGGACAGGATCATGGGACGTTGCCGATGGGTCAGGCCTCGGCGTTGGACCTGTTGGAGAGAAACGAAACGATGCGACGGATTCTCGGCTCGGCATTCGAGACGTATCTCACGTTCAAACGGGTGGAATGTGCAAAGGCAGCCAAAATGACACGGGAGAGCAGGAGCAGGGCCATCATGATACATATCTAAAAGTAGGTAGACAGGTTCTGCATGGCTTGGAACGCCGCACCGTGATGAGAGCTCTCCACCATGGTGTGTTTGAGCTTGGTGATGGAGACTTGGAGTGCAGGTCGGTCGGATATGATCAGGTCGAGCGCATCTTCCAGCTCGCGCCGCATGAGCGTGTTGTCGACTCGGAGGCCATTGCCGAGGGGTAGACCCTCGAGACTGGCAAAGTGATGCAGGTGGATGCCGATGCGGTGGGTCGAGGTGTCTGTGGGTGGGTGAGCCGCCACCGCTTTCGTGTTGACTCACAATACGCTGCGAGCTGAGGCTGCTCCGAGCCAAACGGCAGCGCAATGATCGGAACCTCGGCCATGATCGTCTCCATCATGGCTCCCATGCCGCAGTGAGTCTGAGGCGGGCGTGTTGAGCGAGATGTAAGCCGCTATTGACTCACGATGAACGTGCCGACCGCGCCGTGCTCGAGGATCTCGGCTTGAGGGGCCCACTGGACAGCACAGCCGAGCGGACCGGTGGCGAGAGGAACGGGCGAGGCAATGACGAAAGGCGTTTGACGCAGGGACAAGGTGTCGATGATCGTGTCGAGAATGTCTGGACGATCACGGGGCCAGAACAATGAGCCGAAACTAATGTAAACTGCGCTACCGGGCCCATGGGTCGTGAGCACCTTGTCGAGATGCTCCAACGCAGCGCTGGCGACGACGGGCTGGGGTGTGTGGACGGATTGACACCTTGGTCGTCAGATTATGTCACGACCGAAATTGTCTCACCCTATGCCGATCATTGGTTTCTCCAGTTTCCGCGACAACAGCGCCAACGTGTCCTCCTCGAGTTCCGGGGTGCTCAGCCACAGCATCGCGTCCACCTGTCGGGATGTGTCGAACGCCGCTTGCAGCGCATGAGGGGAGGGTGGAGCGGCGCGGGATCCACATTGAGGGCCTGGAATGTTAGAGGAGAGGGAAAGGGGGGGGGGGAAGTGTCCCGCTCACTGAGCTCATCTGTGTCATGAGCGCGTGAATACAAAGCTGGACACTCACAATCGTACAGCGGGGGCAATTCTGGCAGATCCAACAGCTTGCCCTTGATATGTCGAAACGCCTGAACGGGTGGGGATTTGAGAGGAGCATTCGAAGGCTTCGACCCACCTTCATCGCTGCGACGTCGTGATCCATCGTCGCCCTGTACCCTTCATACCTCTCCATGATCTTCTCCATCACCGCTCCGTCCTCGTCTCGTCCGATGAACCAGAACGCGGTGAAAGCGAGGCTAGGCATGATACCGAGGAGAGGGATGCCTGGTTTGACTCGGCGAACAGCATCTGCGACGGGCCTGAACATCTTGACGTGAGCGAAATACACGGCGCTGAGAATTCTCACATCGATGAGCACGGCAGTAGCATCCAGCCTCGCCAGCACCGCTGGAAACTCTCTCTTCACCACATCACTGTCCGCATAGGATCCCTCTGACTGCTCCAACGTGTCCTTCATCTCCACCACGTTCCATCGGTGATCTGGCGGTGGATGCCGCGCGAGCTCCCGGAGGAGACATGGGAGGCCGTACGTGGTGGTACACCACGTCACACGAAGTGTCGGGTGGATGTTGAGCAGGTTCAGCGCCAATCCCAGCGTGCTCCTCGTGTGCGAGACAATCGACAGCGGGACAATCACGAGATGGGGCATGGTGCGGGGGGTGGCATGGGGTGCGTTGGTAAAACGGGAATAGATCTGGGAGGTGGGGGGGGGGTCCATTATTTTATTATGCGGCGTGCGGATGATTATGTCGGGTGGGTCGGCCAGGAACAAATTGATATTTTCTTTAGTGCGGAGCACTTTCCGCACATAAAAAGGCAGCAGCATGCTTGCTTACCAGACGATGAACCCGCTTGACGACACAATGAACACGCCTCCTTGTTACGACTGCCCCTCGCCGCTCGAGTCGGTGATCCAAACGCCAAAATCGATAGAAGATATCGAGTTGTCCCCTTTTCGATTGCTCTTGAATCAAGCGGCCGATCGACTATGCCCCTATATCGATTCGCTCGAGAGCGCTCCGGCAAAGAACCCCTCATTGACGACACAGCTCCGTGAAGAGGCGTTAAAGCCGCCTGGAGCGGCCCTCGGTGTGTCCACAGCACTTGACAAGATCATGTCCGTGGCCTTGTCCGGGTACGAAAGCAATTCTCCCCTGCACATGGCGTACGTGTGTTCAGGCAACGTCGCAGAGGCTGCCGTCGGTGAACTCGTCTCGCTCGTGCTCAACCGGTACGTCTCGCTTCGACAACATGGGGAGGGAATGGCAGCGATGGAGGATGGATTGATCCGATGGATGGTCGGGGTCATGGGCTTGCCCAGCTCGGCACATGGGATATTGACGTCGGGGGGGTCCATGGCGATCCTTTCGGCTGTCGTCGCGGCCAGAGAGCGGGTGGTCGGCAGGAGGAGCACGTCGATGATGGACAGGGCGAGGGTGTATGTGACAGACCAGAGTCACATGTCCTTGGTCAAGGCGATCCATTTTGCAGGTCTCTCGCCGTCCTGCGTGGTCAAGCTGGATCTGTGGCGGATGGAAGAGCAGGTGAGGTCGGACGTGGAGAGGGGTCACGTGCCGATGATGGTGTTTGCGACGGCTGGGACGACCAGTACGGGATTGATCGAGCCATTGGTATCACTCGCCTCGCTCGCTCGACGCCACAACGCATGGTTCCATGTCGACGCGTGTTACGGGGGTTTCTTCATGTTGACGGAGAGGGGGAGGGCGAGGTTGAGAGGGATAGAGGAAGCCGATTCGATCAGTCTGGATCCACACAAATCGCTCTTCATGCCATCCGGTTCAGGTGCATTGCTCGTTCGTGATGCGCATGCGTTCAAGCATCACCTCTCCCCTGTTCGTGGGGCGTATCTGAGGGATGTCGTCGTCGACGCATTTTCACCATGGCCAGAATTCGCGGATCTAGGTCCAGAGCTGACGCGCGAGAGTCGAGCGTTGAAACTGTGGTTACCACTCCATGTTCACGGGATCGAATGGTACAGACAGCTGCTAGACGATCGACTCGACTTGGCCGCCCACCTCGCCTCCAGTCTCGCCGCGCTGTCCATGATAGTCACCCTCAACCTGTCCATCGTCACGGCTCGGTTGGATGATCCGGAACAGACCAATCGATTGGTCTTGCGACTCTGCGCTTCCCGTGAGATTCTATTTTCAAGCACTGTCGTGGGTGGACAGGCTGTATTGAGGTTCTGCGTGCTGCAATGGCGTACGTCGATGAGGGATATAGAGAGAGTGGTGGGCGTGGTGAAAGAAGTGATGAGGGATTAAAAAGGGGCTATTTTGGGACGGGAGCAAATTTTTGGTGATAGTGCTTCTTGTTCAACATGTATATGAAGGACGTTGTCTCATCTCTTTCCCCCCCCCTCACCATGCCCCCAAGCTATGATCCACGCTCGCGCATCCGCTCACACTCCCGCTGCTCAACCCATGCACCCAGCCCACACCTACTCTCACGATGTTCGCTGCACTCCGGGCGACCTGTACCTCTGTCTACCTATGTGAATACCATGGGAAGGCGGAGGATGAGGATAAACGGGTCGAACCAAAGCGTCTCGACCGTTGGTTGGACAAGGTCGTGAGCTTGGCAGGCTCACAGACGGTCTTTGGGTTGATCCTCGCGGGACTCGTCGGCTGGGCTCTGCTGGGGATCAAATTCTCATCGAGTGAAAAGTGGCCCGCACTCATCTCTGACATTCAAGCGGTTTTATGCTATGTCTTCGACTCGCTGCTCATGCGACAACAGTCTAATGGCTATCGGTGGACGATGGAACGCGTGATTCGGCTCAAGTCGCGCGCTGCGAGTCACCAGATCATGCTGGAGCGGTTGGAGTTGAAGGTTCACCCGGTCGACCTGGAGCTGCCTCAGGAGACTCGTTTCGGACGCTTTGTCACTCGATGCGCCCTCGTGATGGGTCACATCATCACCATCATGCTCTACTGGGTCGCGATCGGTGTATGGCTAGGCTTTGGACCGAAGAACAGTTGGTCAGCTCAGTGGCTCCTCGACATCAACTCGGCGACATCCGCACTCATGGTCCTCCTCTTTGCATTCCTCGCCAACATTCGTCAACGTCACGCCGCGTACGAAGAAGTCTGTGTCAAGGCATTGGAGGAGATGGACGAGGCGCTGGACAGGCGTCTGCGTGAGATGACTGGGTACACGGACCCTTCCCCAGAGATCACCATTCTCCCTCCTCCCACCAACGTCGTCCAAAAGATCATCTACTATTACGCCGAAGTCGTCGGCGCGCTCATCGGGATCGCCTCGTTGATCATCGTCCTCATCGTCTGGGTCGCCATGGGTCCAGTCGTAAAATTCAGCAGCGGTTGGTGGCTTTTCATCGGCACGTATGCGGGATTGGTCGGCATGGTGGATGGATTCGTCCTGCGAAACGTCCAGGGCCAGCTACAAAGCCACGAGGAAGGGCAACTGGGAGAGATCGCCAGGATGGATAGGCAGATGCTGGCGAGGGTGGGATGGGAAGTGGCTCAGGAGCGATCACCAGGACGTATGGCTCGGATGTCTCTCGCCATCAATCGGGTCTGTGCGACGCAACTCATGGTGGTCGGGGGTTTCATCACGACCCTGGGTCTGATCATCGTATCGAGTGTCATGCGGTGGAATCTCGTCGGGCAGCTGCTGAGTAACGTGCCGCCGAGCTTGATCGAGAGTTTCTTCATGTTGATCTTGATCACGGGGCATAATGAGGCGGAGGCGAGGGGAAGGAGGGCGTTGAGGGAGATGTATGAGGGGAGGGCGGTGCTGAGCGAGGGGGTCAAGCGACTGAGCGACCCGAAGGAGCGAAGCGAGTGAGGGAGGAGCGGGGCGAGAGAGGGAGCGGAGGAGTCAGGAGGAGTCGGAGGAGTCAGGCCGAGTCAAAGAGCAAAGCGATGCGAGGGAGTCAGGAGCCACGAAACCGAGTCAAAGGGGGGATCGAGCCACGGTTGAGAAGGACGAAGGACATGTGCAACGTCAGAGCAGCCCATCAGTTACACCCTCATGCATGATCGGCCCATTTTGCTCCCGTCTCTGTAAATAAATTTCACACCGTTTCCTCCTCGAGATCTCTTATCTCTCTCTCTTCTCTACCTCTCTCACACCATGGATAAGCAAGACGACCTGATCAGCCCGGCGATCCTCGAGGATGGACCGGTGCTCAAGGCACGAGATCTCGAGGGGGACATTGTCACCGCAGAGGAGCGACGAGACCTGCGTCGAGGACTGGCTCAGCGTCATGTGTCGATGATAGGGCTTGCAGGTGGGTGTAATGCCCCTAGAGGGGGGGCTGAGAGATCCCAGGGGCCATTGGAACCGGCCTATTCCTGTCCCTCGGCGGAGCCATCACCACGGGAGGACCCCTCGGCGCTCTCCTCGGCTACCTCTTCATCGGACTCATCGTGTGTTGCGTCCAATTCGCCCTGGGAGAGGTGACCGCCTTGCTGCCCGTGTCCGGATCGTTTGTGCGACACGCTGAATTCCTCGTGGATCCGGCACTAGGCTTTGCATTGGGATGGAACATTGTCTACGGAAATTGGCTGAGCATACCGACAGAGATCAGTGCGATCTGTGTTTTGTTTGGGTTCTGGACACAGCTCAACATTTCCGTCTTTGTGAGTCACACGACATGGACACACAGCTGATACCCACCCAGATTGTCATCTTCATCGTCCTCACCTTTGTCGTCGGCGTTTTGTTCGTTGGTGTCTTTGGCGAGCTTGAATTCATCTTTGCCATTGTCAAAATCCTCCTCATCATCGGACTCATCCTTCTCGGCTTGATCATCGACCTCGGCGGGATCCACGGCGTTGAGCGCATCGGATTCCGATACTGGCGAGATCCAGGGCCGTTCGTCGAGTATATTGCGACGGGGGCATGGGGCAATTTCCTCGGCTTTTGGTCTGTTCTGATCAGCGCAGTCTTCTCCTACGCCGGCGTGGAGTCCGTGGCCATGGCGGCGGCAGAGACGAAAAACCCCCGCGTGGCGATCCCCAAAGCCTGTCGACGGGTGTTTGTCCGAGTCATGCTGTTCTACGTCCTTGGGGTATTGATCGTCGGCATGATCGTCCCCTCAAATGATCCACGACTCGAGAATGAATCGGGGACGGCTGCGCAATCGCCGTTCGTCATTGTCGCCTCGGCCGCGGGCATCAAGGCGATCCCGTCCATCGTCAACGCAGTGGTCATCACGTCGGCATGGTCGAGCTCGAACCAGGCTCTGCTCGCAGGGACTCGCGTGTTGTATGGTCTCGCCATCAAACGACAGGCTCCCAAGATTCTCCTCCGCACCAATCGCTGGGGATCACCCTACGTCTGCGTCTGCGTCTTTGCCGTGTTCATGCTGCTCGCCTTTTTGTCCTTATCAAACGGCGCGTTGACAGTGTTCTACTGGTTTGTCGATCTCGTCGGGTGCGGCATTCTCATCAGCTGGAGCGCCGTGTTGTTGAATCATATACGTTTGACGAGGGCGTTGAAGGCGCAGGGAATTCCTAGATCCGCGTTGCCGTGGCGCCCGAGGTGGACTCGTGAGTTTTTACGAAGCACCTTTGCTGACCACCTCAGCGTACACCTCGTACATTGCGCTCGCGGCGTGTCTGTTGATTCTCCTCACCAATGGGTTTGCAGTGTTCACCAAGGGCGGGTGGTCCGCTTCGGGCTTCATCACCGGGTATATGTGAGTGAGCCGTGGGCCGGGCTTTGCGCTGAAGCCCCGAAAGTGATATTCCACTCGTGCTCGTGGCGTACTTTGGGTGGAAGCTGTATAAGAAGACCAAGCTGGTGCGCTTGATGGATATCCCATTGATGGAGGTGTTGGAGCAGATGGCGGAGGAGAGAGAGGAGGTGGAGAAGGCAGAGGGGTGGGTGAGGTGGGTGTCGTGGTTGTGGGACTAGCGAGCCCCTCGAGCGGAGCGAGGGGGGTGAGTGCCTGTTGAGCGAGCGAGAGGGACAAGAGAGAGCTGCGCCAGAAGGAGGACACGCCAGACGTCTCACCCGCGCGATCTCACCCGACCTCTCTCGACATTCCGCCGCGCACTACGAGTATCCCTGTATCTAGAACAGCTTGTAGAATGACTATCTTGAGTCTTGTCTTCCCCACACTCACTCGGGACTAGTCGGACCTGCCATTTGGGGCTCGCCGGGGCATCGGCGGGTCTCATTTCGAATTTAAACGCCCCCAAGTCATTTTCGTTTTCTCATGCCAAGTAATGTCCACCTGCTCGATGTAGATCCTCCGAGGACCCCCAACTGTCATAGCACGCCCCTATGCCAAGGCAGCGTCGGTGTTCATTTTCGAATCCTCGGATCGATTCGCTCGATGCAAGTCTTGGCAGCAGCAGAGGGAAGATGGATAAAAAGGTGGTGGACGCGGGACTTGGACTCACTCATCCGCCATGTCGTTGGCACGTACCAATACCGAGTTAGGCGACGAGCAGAAGCATCTCGACGAGGTCGTGGAGGAGGGACAGGTCGGTCTGGCAGAGTATGAGCAGTCAAAGTTGCTCGGGGAGATTGTGAGTGGGATGGGGGCTGCTGTCGTGGAGACGACCGCTGAGAGAGACGTTTCAGACACCCGAACAAAACAAACGCATCCAACGACGCATCGACCTGTTCATCCTGCCCCTCTTTCTCATCACCCAAACCCTTCAGTACCTCGACAAGACGGCATTGAACTATGCCAAAGTGTTTGGAATGGAAAAGGCAATGGGCATGCATGGCAATCAGTACTCCCTCGGCGCAGCGATATTTTACATGTGAGTTGGGAGCTTGTGTGTTAGGGCAGCACTGACGACGACAACGACCAGTGGGTACATGTTCGCCCAACCTGGCTGGTCCTATCTTCTCGGACGATTCCATGCGGGTCGGACCCTGGGCGTCGCCGCCATTATCTGGGGCATCCTCGTCCTCGTCATGGTCTGGTCCAAAACATTTTCCCACGTCATGGTTACTCGCTTCTTCCTCGGCGTGTTTGAAGCAGCAGTCACGCCGGGTCTTTCATTGATGACTGCGTGGTGGTACAAGCGTGGAGAGATTCCCCTGAGGCAGACGATATGGTACTCGGCGATCGGATGGGGCGGCATGATCGTGAGGTGGAAGAACAGGCAAGGGAAAATGTTGCTGAATCTGCCCCTCCCCACAGGGATCTCTCATGGCCGCGGGAATCACCAAGGTGAGGAAGATTCATTTCCCACGCTCACGTCCCCAGCTCTCTGATCACCCGACACCCCGCTGGAAACTCATCTTTTACATCCTCGGCTCCCTCACCGTCGTCATCGGTCTCGTCTTGTTCTTCTTCATGGCGGATGGACCGAGCACTGCCAAGTGGATCAAGAAGGATGATCGACCCGCGGCGGTCGCCCGTGTCGCACAATCTGGCGTAGGCATGAAGACGACCACGTTTGATTGGAAGCATGGCATGGAGGCGATGACGGATCCCAAGAAGTGGGCGGCCATACAGTGCTTTCGCTGATCATCCCAGTTGGCTCCTCTCCATTGCCATGTTTGGATCGTCCGTGCCGAACGGGGTCTTGACCAACTTTTCCGGCTCCATCATCAAAGGTCTCGGCTATTCCACTCTCAACGCCGCGCTGCTCGACTGTGCCGGTCGATCCCTCCAGGTCATCTCCCTCCTCATCGCGGGTTTGGTCGCGACACGATGGGCCAACACGCGATTGCTCATGATGACGGTCGGCAACGTCATCTGCGTCTTTGGCACCGCTCTCATGTCGTTCTTGCCGTTCACCAAGCAGTACACATGGGCGCGGCTGATTGGATTCTGGCTCGTCAAGTGGGTTCCAAGACGTCTCTTCTTGCTGACACCCACCCAGTTGCCAGTCCATCGGGTTCACCATCGGGCTCGTCATGATCTCCTCCAACATTGGATCGTATTCCAAACGTATCGTCACCTCCTCCTGCGTGTTCATCGCCTATTGCGTCGGCAACATTGTCGGTCCAATGACAGCGTTGGAGAGCGAAGCGCCGAGGTATCAGACCGCGGCGTATTGCATGATGGCCGGGTATATCCTCAAGACGGTTTGTCATTGTTTGCTGTGGATCTATGTGAGTGGGGATGCGGTGGGGTCGTGCTGACGCGTAGATGTGGAGGGAGAATAGGAAAAGGGATAGGGAAGGGCCTGCGGATCCGGTCCAGGCGGCAGATAATGGGATGAGGGGGATGACCGAGAGGGAGAATAGGCATTTTAGGTATGTCTTGTAGGGCGAGCAAGCGAGCGCTAGCGAGAGTGAGCGAGTGGGAGAGCGAGCTGGGAGAGCGAGCTGGAAGAGCGAGCAAAGAGGGGCCTGTCATGCCGCGCGTATGCCAGCCAATACTTACACCGTAGACGAATGCTTGATGACCATTTTTGACCTCGGAAACGGCGGCTCGTCTCGTGTACTTCGCCCAGAGTCCTGCCTGATGTCAGACTCGGAGTCCGCCGTAGCGACGTCGGGGTTCCTCATAGGCGCGATCATGGGCGGCAGCTTGAGCGTTTGGCTTGAGCATTGGCTTCGAGATCCACTTTCTCTTCCTCCACCTCCTCCTCCTCCTCCTCCTCCTCCTCCTCCTCCTCTTCCGCTATCTTCTCTCCTCGTCATCTTCTACCATCTCCTCGTCCTCATGCCCTTCACTTCAGATGTTGCTTAACAGGTATACGACCAAGAGCCCGTGTTTGAGCAGAAGTCAGGCTGGGTGTATCTGCGTCGGATATGAGCTACACAGATGTCGGTATACACGACCTTGAGCAATCCAATATCAAGCCACCAATACAATGTCAAGCACTTGTTGAGGTCAAGCGATAGGGCGCGGAATCAGACACGACGTGCTAGGCGGGACTTAGATGGGGTCATAGGATCTTAATTAACGTTAGCTTTTGCTTCATAGCCGCACGGCAGACCTCACATGTCACCTGCCGTCGTGCAATCTCGAGTATCGCTAAGGGTCAAGTTCGCGATGCCTTGGGTCGATGGATCCACATCCGAGGTTGTCCCAGCCATGGGAATTGAGCCGCCATATGCTTTGAAGGGCCATCTGAAATCTGTTTGATACGACAGCAGATCATGTGCCGGCAATCGGCTAACGCCGCTCGACACCATCATGAAACTCTGCGATGACTCGGTCATGCATCCTCAGTCTCAACTCCCACCTATATGAATCAGCTCGTACTGACCTGTTCTACTCTCGTCAAACCCCTAAGCAGTCAAATCCCGACCGCCTGGCCCTTTCCTTCTGTTCTCATCGCCGCTTGAGCCGAGATTGGGAGACGTGAAATGCGGACGTGGAGGGTGAAGGCTGGGGGGGCTGCTCTAAGCATTTTTCGGACGCTCTTCTTTCCATTCTTACCCACACCATCCGCCCCTCTCATCGATGCGCGTCCGAAACATGTCAGGGCCTCTTCCTGATGAGGGTGCCTTCCAATGGCGTGGATTCATGATTGACCCATGTAGACACTTCTGGCCCATCGAGGAGATCCATCGCGCCGTCGACGGGATGGCCCTGCTGAAACTCAATGTGCTTCATCTCCACCTGTCGGACGATCAAGGATGGCGCTTCGAGTCCAAAAGATGGCCAAAATTGACCGAGATTGGAGCTTGGAGAGAAGGGACCCTGATCGGCGCAACCTCCAACTGGGAAGATAAATCCTGAAAGTTACCAGGACAAGTTCAACACTGTACGGCATGGTGGATTCTACACTCAAGATGAGCTCAGGAAACTCTGTGCGTACGCAAAAACGAAGGGAATCACAGTGGTCCCAGAGATTGACATGCCGGGTCATATGAGAGCTGCTCGAGCCGCATATCCTGAACTGGGATACGATGGAAAAGTCCTCAAAGTCGGCAGAGCCTGGGGGATGTATCCGGAAGTGTTGAGAGTGGACGATTTGGGATTGAAATTCTGCAAGGATATTCTGGACGAATTGTGTGAGGTATTCGACTCGGATTACATCCATATTGGCGGAGACGAGTGTCCCGAAGCCGAATGGTCCGAGTCTCCAACCGCAAGGGAACAGCTGAAGGCAATCTCCGGAACACACATGGATGAACTCCAGAGACATTTCACCGCCCAAATTGCAGAGTACCTGCGCTCAAAGGGAAAGAAAATGATAGGATGGGACGAAATCATCGATGGAGGTGTGCCAGGTGGTGATCCCACCGTCCTTGCGTGGAGGGATTGGACCAAAGCAGCTCAACGGTCGACTGCAGCTGGTGTCAGGACGATCCAAGCGCCTACGATGCTTTATTTTGGATCTGCTCAAGGACCTTTCGACAAGGAACCTCTAGCTCAAGGGCCCGGTGCAGATCTTGAGACTGTATACGCTTTTGATCCATACAAGGATATCGAAGAGAAAACAGGCACCTGGTCTTTGGAATGCAGGCTCAGATTTGGACCGAATACATTCCCACTATCGAACACCTCTGGTACATGGTGTTCCCTCGACTTATCGCTCTAGCCAATGTCGCTTATTTAGGAGACGAACGGCCATCTTACGGGGAATTCAGAAAGGGACTGCCAAAGAGATTGGAGGAGCTCAAGGCATTGGGCATCGGATCTCATCCCCTCTGATCGGAGATTATTAGGGCAGTAAACGTGCTCTTAGTTGGCGACAATGACTTGAATGCATTTGTGGAGAAGCGACCATGTAACGGCAGCACTGACCAGACCTTTTCAGGCGGCGTAAGGTTCATCTTTAACACGGTTCCCTCCAGGTTCTTAAATTGACTCACATGGGATATCCAGCGATATGCCTTTCGCTTACTCGTACTCGATATATGCCCAAATTCTCAACGCCCGTCCCGGCGGAGTCTTGTACCAGCCATGTCAACGCTTAGCAGGTAGCAGAAAATCAGCATCCAACAGGAGTCACATGCATTTATTGATGGAACTATGACAGATCTAAGGAGCTCACTTACCTTCGGAAGCGCTCAGCGCAGATCCCTGAAAAGATTTCTTGCGGTTTCAGAGATGAATCACATGGCCACTCCCTTCGAACCCGTGAGTATCATTAGAGTCTCTCGCCTGCCTCCTCTCAAGACGAGCCATTTTGGCGCAACATTTTGATTCTCTGGGAACCGAGCAGGGTTTTCGGGGAAACAAAAAAGAAAAAATCCTTCACTCAAAAGCTTGAAGCAATCAAGGAGATGAGAGTTTTGGGATCTAGGCTACATATGCCATTACAGGATTCTACCTGTTCCAATTAGTCCATCCAACCCAGTCGTTGCTGATTACAGTATCTCCAAAATGGGTGCTTGGATAGCTGTTTTTCTAGCATGCCTTAGTCTCTGCTCTGGAAGAACCCCTGCACGATCGTATGGGAAAGGTGGTGGCTGTCCAGCGATGGCTGCACAGGAAGTGGCTGTTCTGATTGAGATGCTGGGTCTTGAGAGTGTGTGCTCTCAGATTCTGTCCGACGTCATGTGAGAGAGAAGTTATTGGGTATGTCCGCCATCTCCCACCAGGCCGACAACTACATCTGTGGTGTTTGTATCTGGTCCCTCCGTCATATCGTACAAGACAGAAACGGCTGTGACAACAACGATCACCACAGTCTTGTCCACTCAGACATCTATCGCATTAGCAGCAAGTCTCAATGTACGTACACTTTAGCTGACGTCAGTCTACGACGGTATTGCTCACAACGGCTACCAAATCCGTTACCGATACCTCCGTGCCGACTGTAACTGCCACTGTTACTGTCACTGCGACCGAGTCGACAACTTCTACCATCACATCCACTGTCTCAGTGAGTCCTGTCGCATCAATCCCATGTTGATCGGCAGACGATCACCTCCTCAACTGTGACTGTGCAGACATTGGTGTCGACGTCGACGACAACCATAACCACGGCTGGTCCCTCGGCGTTTCTGTTGTCAGCTTGCCCTACTTCAGCTATTGCAACGGAGACTCCACGATCTCTCCTGCAGGATCCGCACCTACGGGCACAGCCTGTTCAAGAAGGCGCACGTCCCCGCTCAGCAAATTCGGTAGGTGGCTACCAGGCCCTTGGCAGCAATGTTCAGATGCAGTAGGTACCAGTAAAGGTGCTCTCGCAAAAGCTGCCTGACAGCGATGATCACAGTTTATCCGCGACGCTTGTCAATTGGCGTTAGGGGAGCCAGACGGAGTGGCCATCTCGACCGTCTACCGAACCGCTTCCAATCCTGCAATCACCACAACGAGCACCATCGCGATTCAATCTACAGAAACAATCACCGTTACTAGCAACATCATGGCTACGTGAGCAATGGCACGAGGGAGATCGCTGACTTGTAATCAAGCACCACAATTACGACGACATACAGTTTGCTGACTGCTGCGACGGCACCATCCACCGTGACGTGAGAAGTATTAACATTCTCTAGCTTTTTGCACTGACTCTCCAAATCAGTGATCCTACGACCAGCACCGACGTTGTCACAACGCAGTCGACTGAGACCATCACTTCATACGTTCCAGCGACCAGCACAATCATCAGCACTTCTACTTCTGTCACGACCAGCATCTCCATTGTCACCTACAACGCGTCACCCACCGCATATGCGACATTGATCATCGAGGCGACGGGCTATCTACAATGCTTCAATTTGTCGGACAGCGGTGTATGGCAGATCACTGCAAGCGGATCTATGGGCGGGTTCAATTCCGGCGAGTCTGACGGGACGAACGGAGCCCAGATCTCAGGCGAGTCTGTTTTGGCCGCCAATGATATTTGCGCAGCTGTTGTGGGAACTCCAGGACAGAGCGGAGGTCTGGGGGGAGGGGGAGGAGGTGGTGGCACATTCGTCTTTGATCAGGCCACACTCTTAATGGCAGCCGGGGGAGGCGGTGGCGAAGGTCAATTTCAAGGTGGTGAGGATGCCCCGCTCGACCTTACAGGGACTGCAGGAGGCCCACCCGGCCAACCTGGTGCAGCCGGTGGCCAAGGGGGAGCAGGTGGAACATCGGAGAACCCACTTGGCTTCGGCGGAGGCGGAGGAGGTGCAGGAGTGTTTTCCGCTGGAGCAAACGGAGCATCTACAACAAATTCTCCAGACGGAGGGGGTGATGGAGGACAGACTGGCTCCGAGCAAGGAGGCTGGGCTGGAGGGGAGCCAGGATACCTTTCTGGTGGTTCCGGCTATTCCGGTTCAAGTGGAGGGTATGGGGGAGGAGGCGGGTCCGGTTTGGATTCTGCGGCAGGGGGTGGAGGCGGCGGCTACAGTGGAGGATCTGGGGGAGCGTCGTATAATTCTGAATCGTACGGGGGAGCCGCCGGAGGTTCCTGGATTCTTCCATCAGCTCAAAATGTCGCTACACCGGTTGCCTGGGGTGCTGCAGGTCAGGTGTCGATTGTCTTCATATCGAGTTAAGGATTGTTTGGGGCAAGACAAGAGGGTTTATCACTAGTTTTACTGTTGAGAGAAAGAAAGCAATGGTATGATTTTTCACCGAGATAGATCTCCTAAACCTGGCGTCGGATGGCGATGCGTTGGTTTGTGATTGCTTGTGATACGTACCCTGACGGTGCAGTCGCTGTCACGGAAAGGGTTGTTCATGATTAGCGGACAGTGCTCCGGCCCATACGGGATCTATAGTGCTCCGTCTGTACATAACTGTCCACGACCGCCATGGGCGAGGCCGACCTGTAATGCCAAGTGAGATGCCTCTCGTCTGACTGGTCCAAGAATCTGAGACGATTGGGAGGTATCACCATTCCGTTCAGGCGCTTCTCCTGACGTTTCATTAATATGATCGGAAAAAATGAGAATCGCCCATCCTACTTACTGGTGTTGAAGCACTAACCGTGCCTCCAATGCTCGGCGAGATGATCATAGTGGCCCGCCCCGCTGCTATTATCAGCATGGATCAGACCAGACGCTCTGAGGACATATAAACCCCCCCCCCCCCCCCCCCCAACCCCCGATTCCGCTATTTCCGTCACCGCCTATCTCATTCCCTTGTCCAACCCCCCAGTTGGGATCATAGTCAATCGAGATGACCCATAGTAGCCGTGTTTATAGTCGTTGGGCTCTGGAGAGTAAGACAGGTGGTTGGCGAAACTTCCACTTGTGAACGACCCGCCGTGCTGTCCGACAGCGACTGTCAATCCATATCCTTTTTTCGAATAAAAGATTCCGTTGATCATGGCTCCGAGTCCACCATGCCGAGGCTCCTTGTATCGAGGTAGGGCCTGGACCTGTCCGGGCCCACCGCTGGCCCCATACGCCGATATGTAATATGTCCCTGGAGCGGGTAGCTGTCTCTGTAGACTCAGGGGTTTAGGTTGCACGGGCATCGTCGGACGCGGTCGCAAAGAATACATCGTGTCGATCCCCCGATGCCCGCGTTAATGGCTCGTCAGCCCTGCGGCACGTCTACTAGGACCGAGATATTAATGCCATCAAACTCGAAGAGGCGATGGGAATCCCCAATGAAAAGTGGTCGAAAGGCTTGAAAATACTCTCCAGCAATGTTGTACTTCAGGCAGACTCGGTCGCTGTCTCGATTTGGCGAGTCGATCTGGAATCAAAGGTAACAAATGAGCGGCTTGAATATGACGTCACCATGGGCAAAAATATTCATCCACCGGATGATGTCGCGCCTTGAATCAGCGGCATCCATTACAAGACCACAGATGGATTAGTCTTGGACATTGACCGTTCTCGAGACCGACTCGCAGAGGACAAAGACTCGCACTCGCCCCAAGCATCAGTCAAAGTGACCGCCCGTGGCTCCATAGAAGCTGGCGAATTCTGCCTGGATGAGGATACAGAGGACGGCGGGATTTTTATTGCTCGACACATCGCCAGCGATCTGCACGGAGTGGATTGAGTTGCAAAAGTCAGCGGTTTGATTGGAGGTTTCAGTTTCAGTAGAAGAGACTCTGATCGGTCCCATGGCTGTGGCTTGGTCCAAAGGGCCTGGCAATGCAAAAGTGCTTTTTGCTTCCACCAAAGACGGGACCAGCTCGCCTGGTGAGGGACAGGTAATGATGGAGGACTTGTCCAGATCCAGCTCGGGGAGTAAACACGATGATGAGCGGGACTCCAGTGATCAAAATGGTGCAAGGCAGGTTATATGTCTAGTATGAGCTATGTAGAGAGCAGAAGACCCAATGTCATCAATGGCGACATAACTATTCGTGTGTATCGAGTCCAAGCATAACAGACGATCCATGTCTGTCTGAGCCATCCGCAGGCAAAAATACTGGATCTCTGAGATAAATCAGGTACAGCCAAATCGTACGCGCATGCACGCTTGTCCCGCTCGTGCTGAGGAGTCAGACATGATGATCACATTGAGCCATAAAGCTCCAGTCTTTGTTCGGTGTCCTGCTTCATCATCTGGGAATGACGAGCAGAGTATTAAGTAAGTCTTGAAACTCAGTGACTTAGCTCAGTCTCGCAGGCTGTACCGCTTGTCCTTGACGCAAGGTGCGATGCGTGCGGCCGAGAAGGGATCGACAAAACGATGCACAGTGGGTAATAGAGCACTCTCGTACATTGAACTTCAGCCATGCACAACCCCTCTGCCGAAAAGCGTCTGTGTCAGATGCGGCAAGAATGGCTGGTACTGACCCTCAGTAGTGACACCCGCCGGCTCGATTGCAATGGCCTAGCGAGAACTGTCCGCTGGCAACCTAACTGTCCTCATGGATTCGCTTTGTCGCAATGGGATACATCTGCCGCTCCGATTACCGAGACCACTTGCGCCCACAGGGAAGATGATGATTCGACCGGAGATACTGGGAACACGAACGCGGTCCGTCCGGCACTGACGGTATCTTCCGAACCAGCAGAAGCCGACTTCTGCCGTGGATTAGCCTGGGTAACCTTCCGCCTGGACCCCCTGTATCGCAGCTGGCTGAGATCATATCTCGAAGTATGACTATGTGTGTTATCTCTATGTTCTTCGGATTCGTAAGCACGGAGAGTGAAGCCTTGCCTAAGACGCTCAGGTGTATCCCCTGCAACCAATCTTACATCAACCTTCTTGCATACGTCGCCTACGTGCAAAGGATGATACATCCGACATCGTGTTCCTATCACTGTTGTCGGGTCATTTTTGTGGCACTTGTCCAGTTGAGTGTGAGGGAGCGGAACCAAATATTCGGATCCGAGGACCTCCGAGCTCGACTATATAAGACGGAACGCTGACTTTGTAGTTCATCATCAATATGTATATTCGTTGTCTATGAGCTACCCAGCTTGAGACTCTATTCAAGAAGGTTACTATTCCAAGTAGGACCCTCTAGCCGGATAGGTCTGTTCCTGACAGTTCTCGAGTCAAATACCAGGCATCTCAAACAAGACCGTTGCAATGCTCAGCGGGAGGACGAGACGGTCTTCTCCTTGTACGTGGTACCTTGGCACCACGTGAAAGGCATAGCTTGACATCATCATAATTCCAGATTGGAAAGACATGTCACTTTGAAAAGCTCGATCCGGCGCTGTTTAGTGAACCCTCTCGGTTTGAAAGGAGATAGTAAGGCTTGTTTCTTCCCAACACATGCGTGCTGACGTGATCTGTCCTCTTAGCAGTTTTCCTGTCCCTTCTCGGACAGAACGCTTCAATTATGTTCAACACTGGCAGAAGAAACTCTCCAGAAATCCGCAATAGTCATTCGGGGACGGGCTTTCGGCGGAATTTGCAGTTCAGGGCCGAAGGGTTCTCATTGTGCGTTTCTGAAGGAGATCTTGTGAGTGCACATACAAGTCAGCGCTCAGACCGACGGTCCACAGCGTGTTCGCTCTTTTGACCCTAGTCCAGAGTCCTGTTAGCTCGACCGTCGATCTCGGTTGACCCCACGGGGACTTGTCATCACCGATAAGCTTTCGTCACTCAGTATCACAGCAGATAATTTGGGTACGAGATCAGATGGAATCAGGTAATGAGCGTGGAATGGCTGCTATTTGGGCAGAGACAAGCCGACTGAAATTATGTTTGGGAGTCGTAGAGCCATGCGTATGATGGCAGCACAGAGAGGTAATTTTTGCCTATTATGACCCCAACGTGGACACCGCAGCTAGGATATACGGTCTCGTGGAGCCTCAGTGAAGCAGACTGCAGAACTACGGTCTTTTCGTAACAAACTCACTTAGCAGCTCTGGGTGCCGTGATGCATTCATATGCTTACAACAAGCTCAGACAAGAGGTGGCAGTCGACTCTTAGGATCCCGTACAACACCTGGTTCCGCGAAGCTCAATGGGACTTTACCAAGCTTTGTGGTGTCCGTGTGGGTGATTTCGGATTCGAAAAACTCGACGAGCACAAAGAGTCATCCCTGGCGTCTTATACTTTCTCTAGCCGCGGAACGATGTCTACACAGGGTCACTTGCCCATGAGTCGCCTGGCAGACGGCGATCAATGTTGGTTATGGCAGGTGGAAAACAACGGCGCATGGAAATGGGAAGTTGGTGATTTTGAAGATCAAGCGTACCTGCATGTCACAGTCATTCTGATCTAGTGGTCCTTGAGAGAGGTTACAGGTGGAGCTAGCCTGATATCGACTGCGCTCAGGCATCGGCAAGGCGACAGGCTGTCCGAGGCAAGACCTCGGAACGAAATCCGGAAAACTTGATATGTATCATGGCCGGGGGCCGAGCTCGCACTCTCAGCCAAGAATCGTTGGAAAATTAATCACACGGGAGCTAGAATCTAGTAAAGGGTTCGGGAGATCCTGGCAGCCATCAGCGTGATCGTTCGTCACACTGATGGACCGGTCTGGACACTGCAGGTATTGGACTCGCATGATCATGCGTACATATGCCTCGTAGTACCGCGTTCTGGAGGCCGCCATCTTCTTCCGTGAACGCGAATAGACTCACGCAACCAATACTCGGCGCACGCCGTTTGTGAGGAGGACTATTTTTGGCGCAATTAGTGTATTCCAGGAGATCGGAAGCCGTTTCCGATTTCGAATTCGGAGACCGGACCGATGTGCGGACATGTGTTATCGAGGTCAAAACGAGAAGAGTTGAGAGACAGGCGGGGTACACAACGTTCGTCTGATCACTGCTACCGTTCAGACAATGCTGCTCATTTTCTTACAAGTTTCAATGCTCCTCTCAACGTGCATAAATGCTGGATCCCACTGCCATGACTCGTCCTTCAAGCCGAACCATATTCTCCGTGTGACTATGGGAAATCTCAGTATTGGATGTGGCACCACTCGTCAATCGCACCTGATCAATGGAACATCCCCCGGACCGGAGATACGTTTGACGCCAGGGAAGATATCATGGATTCGGGTCTACAACGACATGCCATCGGACAATCTGACAATGGTGAGTTGCGTGGAGAGTCCGCATATCAGACCCTAAGTGCGAACGTAGCACTGGCATGGCCTCTCACAACGAATGGCGCCATTCTCGGATGGGACTCCACATACCTTGCAATGGCCTATTCCACCCATGCACTTTTTCGATTACGAGGTCTTTCCTGGCGGTGATGATGCCGGAACGTATTTCTATCATTCTCATGTTGGCTTCCAAGCTGTCACGGTCTCTGGGCCTCTTATCGTCGAGGATGAGGGAAAGCCGCCCTATCAATACCACGATGAGCGCGTCATTGAGCTGACCGACTTCTTCTACAAAACGGACAAAAATATCGCGGCTGGACTGTTAGCAAATCCTTTTGTTTGGTCAGGCGAGACACATGGTGTTTTGCTCAATGGCCAGGGCGTGACAGATGTTGTTCAAGCCAGCGGGAACTACTGTGCTCTTCCTACGTTTGATCTACTTCCGGGCAAGACCTACAGATTCCGATTCATTGGCAGCACGGCGCTGTCCCTGGTCAGTTTGCAGATTGAAGGACACAATTTAACGGTCATCGCGGCAGACGCACGCTACACCCAGGCCCATGTGACAGACTATTTGCAGATTGGTACTGGACAACGCTTCGATGTGCTTATTCATGGAAAAGTCATGAAGAGCTCAAGGATCTAAAACGGACAACGTTTTTCATGAAATATCAGACCAAAGACCGTCCCCCGGTGTATACGGGGTATGCTGTATTCCGTTACAACTCTTGTCAAATGTTTTCCGCTTCGCCGGCACCCGGAATCTCTATCATTCTGCCGAATAGTATATACAACTTTCTCGAATATACTCTCAGACCTCTCAAGTGGAAACTTTCCATCTGCGAATAAAGTTACCCGACGACTTACAATGACATTTCGCCCAGAGGGATCGCCTACGGGCCATATCCGTTGGTATGAGAACAACCTCGGATACACTGAATACAGCTCGCCTCGCCCATTGCTTCCGGATGTCTACCTCTATGGCGAATCAGCAGTGCCAAATTATACATTGGCATTGGAGAACGAGGGATGTGACCCAGAATTCAAGGCATGGCCCGCCATGATCGGAGAGGTGCTCGAGATTGTCATTGAAAACACGGGATCAGAAGTCGCAGGAAACGGCGGGCTAGACATTCACCCCTTCCATGCTCATGCTGGACACTACTACGACATTGGATCCGGAAATGGTACATACAATGCGACGGAGAACGAAGTGAGACTTGCAGGCTATTCTCCTGTGCTGCGGGACACTACCTATCTTTACAAATATGAAGCCGCGACTGGAAATGGCACCGATGCGTCCTGGCGAGCATGGAGGATCCGGGTCACCGATGCCGGGGCATACTTGATCCACTGTCACATCTTGCAGCACATGATTATGGGTGAGTGACTCTTCGGCGTTCCTCGGCTCATCTGGGTCTAGGCATGCAAACGGCATGGGTGTTTGGTAATGCTACGGAGATTCAAAAAATACCGCTGGCCGAGGCCTCTGGCTACTTGACATATGGCGGCAGTGCCTATGGCAACCAGTCGTATGACCCCATCGTGTATCATTACTACGAGGATACTCCTGATGAGCCCTGGCTTCGGTGAAGGCGGTGAGTGGAAGACCCGGAGGGGGGGGGGGGGGAAGGGCGGGGGAAGAGTTGGTATTCCTGTGGTCGGACGATCTGCGAGTGATCGAGGCGTCGTCTCACAGTATACTTCAGCGTGAAACCCGACGGCACTGGGCGGAGGACTATTGTAAAAAAGATGTACTGTATGTGTGTGTGTGCGTGACTTGAGGAGATTCTCGGAACACTGCACATCGGCATATCGTCTTTGTTTGTCAAATAGCTCTGTAGAAATGAGACCGTCTTGTGCGCTTCTGAAGCTGAGATGGACCACGGGTGTCATGGAACAGTCCTTCTTCGCCAATCGGACTCGAAATTCTCCTCTCATTTGATGATCGAGGTTGCGTCTGGCTATCGTACGATCTCAATGGTCACCACTCACTTTCTGCACGTTCTCCGTGATACAGTACTAGAGCAAACAGGGCTGAGCGCCAAGTCTCGTATCCCCAGCTGAAAAGGGGAAGCAACTGCAGAAGGTCTCAACCCCGCCAGCAAATATCGGGTGGCGTTGCCCCCTGGGTGAGGGGATTCTAGGCGCAGCTACAGGCGCCAATATATTCCGTGACGTGGGAGTTTCATTTATCCATTGCAAGATCCCAACTTTGTAGCATTGCCCGATGTCCAGAATATATCTCAAAATTCTTTGCACAACCACGCGTCCCCCAATTCAAAGGCAATCGCGGCACTCGACCATTCATTGCTGCAACTGAAGCACCGCAAATGACCCCGCTCCATATCCTGCGTCCTGCACGAACGCATTAGAAGCAGCTGGCGATACCCATGACCCTCCACCACCCCCATTATAGTCTCCGCAACAAGTTCCGGGGCCGCCTGAGCCCCCGCTATATCCTGAAAATACTTTAGAAAGCGAGCATGAGGAGGTAGACTTACCACCGCCCCCTCCACCTCCGGTCTCTCCACCAGCCCCTCCACCACCATACCCCCCAGCGGCAGTAGAGTAGATGTTTGTTCCGTAACTAGTAATTGCCGAAGCTCCCAAAGCCCCTTGCCCGCCGCCGTCGACCCCTGCACCCCCTCCACCAGGAAACTGATTGTTGCGCACGTTGCTTGGTGCTTGGCCACCACTGCCTAGTGGACCTGCAGGATAGCCTTGCCTGTAGATCGTTGAGCGGGGCGAATGTATATGGTCTTGTTACGACTCACCAGTCCCTACCATATCCGCTCAGATCAAGTGGAGCCTGGCTTCCTGGACCCGAATCTCGAGGACCTCCTCCACCCCCTCCAGCGGCGAGCAGTACGTTATTGTTAAAGTCAAATACGAATGTCCCTCCTCCGCCTCCTTGAGCAAGATAATATTGATTGCTGTCTTGTCCAAAGTCTCCCACGATGACCGTGTACAGGCCTTCTGCTAGGTTGTACGATGCAGCAACCTGGGCTCCATTCCCAGCAATGTAGCCGCTTGGCGCTCCACTTGCAGCTCCAGCTCCTTCAAGCTCGTATGTGCCCGATTGTAGGACCTGGAAGCATTGTTCCGCATTGGTGGTGGCATATGTCACCAAAGCGGTTGCCGTGACGGCAGGAGCAGTAGTAGTAGTATCATAGTAATTGATTGTGAATTCGGTCACTGTTGCCGTTGAAGTGGACGTTGTGGTCTCGGTCGTTGTCGTGGTGACACTATTCGTCACAGTGGCCACAGTATTCTGAGTCGCAGAACTGGTAACAGTGTAGCTGGGCATCAGTGACGATCCTCCAGTGTCCTGCTCACGTCGTGGTAACAGTCTGTGTTGCCATCATCGTCTTAGTCTGCGTGGTCGTGACAGTGGTGGTCGGAATCGGAGCGGTTGTCTTCACAGGGGTTAGGGGGTTAGGGGGTTAGGGGGTTAGGGGGTTAGGGGGTTAGGGGGTTAGGGGGTTAGGGGGTTAGGGGGTTAGGGGGTTAGGGGGTTAGGGGGTTAGGGGGTTAGGGGGTTAGGGA